GACTGAATACGTCTCTGAGAATTGTAATCGTGGTCGATGTTGGTGTGTTCGATATTTGGAAGATCTCGGGTCATTTTCTGTATGCATAGATGTCTTCTGATTGACCCAGTAAAACCAAGGTGAAAACTTGACTATGGTTTTGTTGGCGTCGGCCAGAAAAGTAGTTCGCATGTAGCCGGTGATTTCACTTCCAGAGCACACTTTGAACATGAACGTGTTATCTCCTCAATTTGAGAATCCACAAATAGCAAGTACATAAAACTCCTCGCTAGAGCCTTCGTCCTATTGGAGTCGGGATGTTCAGTATGAGATTGATGTAGGTCGAAGTTCGGCTGGGATGACGGCGCGTTCACTCATGAGGATACAGTCTTCGATGACCGATAGTGAACTGTTGTAGCTGCATATCCGAAACTTTTCGTCGTCACCGTGAATAGTAAAACATGTTCATCTGCGACAGCAACGGGTCACGTGAAGTGGCGTCTCAAATCTGACTGAAAGATATTGAGAGCTGGCCCACGGTACCTGAGAGCACACGGTTTACTTCCGTTTCGACTGAGATATTAGCATCGACCGTATCTTATGGCTGATGCTGTTCGTCCAAAAGTCGTGACAGCGCACCGGTCTGCCAAATTTCGCTTGTCAAACGGTATTTAATGTTGATCATAATCACGCGATGTCGTCGCCCATCTTGGCGACGAATGACCGAGTATACCGGGATACCTGACTTCGAGTAGAATATGGCAAGAAGCAGTTTGTGATCCGTTAACAAGGGGAAGTGACGGCCATATGGCAATTTGTGGAAATGTTGAAAGGCAAACACAAAAGTGAGAGCCTCATTCTTAATTTGGCTGTAATCTCTCTCAGCTGCATTTAGCGAGCGAGTGTCATGAACTTCTAAGACCCGTCTGGAGAAATGGCTGCCTCAACTCAATAGCTGGATGCAGGACCGAGACAGCAGACTCCGGAAAAGGTGATATTTTTCGACTTCTCAAGAGCGTTCGACCGGTTAGCCCATGACACTCTACTCTACTAAGTCCAAACCCTTGGTATTGGTGATCCTCTCCTAGGGTGGATCAGAAATTTGCTTTTACACTGACGCTTGGAAATATGAGTGCGTGAATCTCTGTCAGACCCCATACAAGTTGAATGAAGAGCACCACGGGGAGCGGACTAGGACCGCGGTTACTTTTAACGTATATCAACGATACCACAAGCTTCATAAGCTCAAACTGCCTGCTTTATGCCGATGATATCAAGGTGTGGAGGGCGATAAAACACCAGATGAGTTCACAGTACTCGAAGCAGACAATAACGGCGACTGAGCGGGGACTTAATTTTGACTTACTAGATTTTGAGAAATCCCAAGCACACGTGCCGCCATTTGCTAGGGCTCAGTCACAACAGTAAACTGACAGGCCACCATCTCAAGCAGTAAAGTCGTCTGGAATTTATTTTCCGTACGCGTTTGCAAGACGCAGAATACCCTACCGGAATCTGTCGTCTGTGGTCGCATGCAGGCAGAGTTCAAAGTCCGAGTTAACCGTGCACTCATTTCGCTGCACCATCTCACATGACTCATTGCCCATGGATAAACACAATGGTCCGGTCAACTCACAAAATACGTCCCACCTTTACAATCTTACGTGTTCACCAGAATACGATACGAGTTGTTACTAACATCTGGTTTGTCTTCACTCCTTATAAATTACTTCGGATTAACAGTTTAGACCACGTATCCTGCAGTGAGTCCACCGGTGTAAATCTAATTTTGAAAAATATTTTTCCATATTTTGAATGTTCACCATGACCATCCTACGGGACCTGTTGAACTTTAGCTTTTTTAACCGTATAAAACCACTGTTAAATTGATGCCACGAGAAGAGGCAGTTTTAGATCGTGATGTGTTAGCGTCAGTACTTAACAAAATGAAGTCTTGATTCGGTCGAAAGCTTCCTGACATTCGGTGGTCCAGACCCACGAAACATTCTATATCAGCAAACGGTTTAGTGGTCCGAGTACGTCGTGTATGGACGTCAGGTAGATACTGCAGTAATTCACTATACCAAGGAAAGATCTTAACGTTGTTACGTCTTTAAGTGGGGGCATGTCTTTGATCCACTTGATGTTTTCATGGGTCAGGTAGTCGGCCTCTTTGGTCAATGGTAAAGCTGACGTTTTTACTGGAGGTCATGAAAATCTCACACTTGTCCATTCTCGGAAGAAACTGATACTCCTTTATCCTGTTATGCACGCGTTTCGTTCATTGACATAGTTCTTCCTGGTTAGGTCCCATAATAATTATAGGGTCCAGGTATGCAGCGGGATATGATACTTCCTGTAAAAATCGTTCCCATGATCTGTTTAAAATTTGTCGGGGCCGACTTTATGCCAAGTGGTAGGCGTGTGTATTGGAATAGTTCTCTGCGAGTGTTAATTGTTAGCAACTCCGCGATTCCTCTGACATTTCTAGCTGAAGATGTGTCAGACAAGTCCAGTTTGACAAAACACTTGCCACCGTTCAGACGTGTGAAAAAGTCTTTAGGAAGGGGTATTGGGTACTTGTGGTCTTCTAAAGCAGCATTCAGGCCTGTAGAATAATCTGCACATCAGGGGAACTTTTCGTTTGGTATTTTGTTAATCAAAATGAAGGCTACCCGTGAAGAGTAAATGGTAGGTTTGAGAACTACGGCTAACTGGAGCCTGTCAAGTTCTTGGTCGATGACTGAAAGCACTGCATATGGAACCGGTCACTTAGGACGGAAGACTGGCCTTGCGTCTGACCGTAGGGATAAGCTGGCCTTGGCTTTCGTGCACAATGCCAGATCATCCTGAAAGATCTGTGGATATTTCTTCTGTAGCGTCTCCGTCCAGTTCACAGCTGCATCGTTTAATTTGTTATACACGGAATTCCGGGGGATATCAAGCAGTTTCATATTGCCAAGGCAGTAGGGACCCAGTAAGTTCAGGTCTGGGTGCCTTGTTACGTAGCAAACCCCATCGAAGTGGCAGTCTTTGAACAATACAGGGCAATAAATTTCACCGGCCAAGTTCAGCGGTTCTCCTGAAGCATAGGTTGCAACCCGAGTTGTACTTTGAACAGGTGGTACACCGATGTTCTTCCAAGTTTCCTCGGATACAACCGCGATGTCTGAAGCAGTGTTTACTTTGAGGCGTACGGGCACCTGGTTCACAACCACTGCTGCGAATCTTCTGCGTTTTTCAGCCACGGTGTGGAAAGTAACAAAATCAGAATATAGTTAAGAACCATATGCACAGCTGAAAGTAAATAAATACCCCCGTCTTTCACCAATGTTGTTAGAATGGCAATGTATAGTAAATGATTTAGCTACTTCAGATGCATTGGTTAAATGGCACGATTTCAGCCTGGAAAGCTCGTTTACGATTGACCAGGACTACTTGGTGCAGTCGTTAAACAGCAAAAAGATGAATAAAACAAAGTTAGCATAACGTTTTTCTAATTATACTTGCACAACGAGACTCCATCACGGAAAACCTGGTGATAGTGTAAACACTGGACAGGAGTAGAACAATTCTAAAGGAAGCTACTTGTTGGTTTTAGTCCACCCACTATGGACGCGACCTAGTGTTTACACAGGTGACACTTAGTGGAGACATCCCACAAAACGATCTTCGCGAACAGAATACCGAAACCGATCGAGTCGAACGCGGCCCCGAGATCAAAGGGAACACAACATACACTTGGTTTTGGGAAACATTTGTACTGTAGAACAAAAATGTCATCGAGAACAACGCTTTGCTATGTTCTAGGGGGAAAACAAGGAAACTAGAACAGAGACTGGTAAGATAACCCAACAGAATTAGTTTTAATGGCGTTAAAACGTGATAACCATTAGCCAATTGGTCAGGAACAGGTGGTAATTAAGGGTGATCATAGTTGGACGCTCCACGTCTCAGAAAATGATACCACCGAACCAAACAAACCGAAGCTCGTTTGGGGGAAATGTTGATTTGAGTTCCAAGCAACGGTACAGATGACGCACTGGCGTGCACCGACAACCACACAAAAGGCCGCGGAGGGAATTAATTAGCATTCAATTTTGAACTACTTTTAAATAGTAAGTAGTTAGTTTATTGTTGTAAATCGGTTGAGTTGCGTACGATCAACCGACCTAGGGTGAAATAACCATAGGTGGAGCAACGAGCGCAGGTTACAACAGTTCGTTTGCTGGACACGTGTAAATAGCTCAAAGAAAGCAAACAGCACCGCTCACTGTCGTCAAACAAATACAGGAATGAAAACCGCCAGACACCAACCGTGTCCTCTCTGGAAGTTGATGAGGAATACGATAAAGTCAGTATCAGGTCCCTATGGGAATAATGACCTCATAAAGCAATCGCAACGAGTGCTGACAGGTTAAACTGGTCCCAGGACTTCTGAAGGAAAGGATCGAAGCTCAGCAGATGTGATGAATTTCAGAAGTATCGACTGTGATATGGCTGGAGTTGTTGTGATTATGGCGAATGACCACTGCTTTGCAGTCACACGTGACTGCCTCTTCCCCTTCTGGCGGATTCCCACTTCACGAACATCATTCAGTTCGAAGTTCCTTTGATCTCTTCATACGATGGCGAACACAGCAAACAAACCCACGAATCCAGTCACACTTCACAAGTTCACTCTCCACGCCCACTAACACATACACTTACATATACATTAACACACAAATCCAGTAGGTTACTGGTTAACTTTAGATATATTTATACAATAACCGACCATACCTGTTTGTATTATCATGATCATGCCTTCGCAGGCGTGACCCGCACAGCCGGAAATAAAAATTTTATCCATTTATTTAGAATGGAGAGGGACCTATGGAAACCAAATAAGACCGGACGGAAGCCCAGCGGTTGGTTATATCAAGCAAGCCAGTGGAACGATGGATTGATAAGCGTAAGAACTAAGGATTGATGAAAAGGAAGTTAAGATATCCGAACAGGTAAAGAACCGCTGAGATCAAGCTTTACAAGGCGTGTGTATATTTCATTTTTTGTACATGTGGAGGTTAGCGCGGAAAATCCAGCAACACAGAGGCTGTTCTCACCCCAAGCTGAAAAGGTAAAACAGAATGAACGAACAACAGGTTATAATATGCGGGAAAAAATAATTTGATAATATAGCCATTAATGAAAAATACTCCATCGCAACACGACAAGATGTTAGCGTGGTCTGATGGTGACCCACTGAGCTATGCTGGGTGACAGTCTCTGACTGCTTTCAGAGCCCCTAGTACCAGACAGGTCAAGGATTCAAGGTCAGACGAACTCAGTCTCACAATCCTATCCTCTACGGATGTTAGGGAGAGATCGGTGGTACACTTCCTTTAAAATCTAGACATGACAAACAACAGCTCTACGGGTTATATGATCACAGCTCGACTGGCGTAGAGCACCAGCGCCACGCATTGTTTCTGACGGTCGGAGAGCACCTACCGGTGCTCAATGGATTACTACCGCAAGCCTTAAGCCAGGTGCAAACCCGCCAACTCCCACCTGCGGTCGTAAAACATGTGGATTGTATCAAATCTTCAAACGCTGCGTGTGACAGGTATCGAGCAGATCCCAATGGGTCTCTGCAATCACACTCCCGGTATGGACTTGGTCCCCACTGTCTTGTGGGTCAGACTATTGAGACAAAGGCTACGGGTGGAGTCCCTCAAACGAACCTACAAATTCGTCAGCCGGTGGCCGAGGGGTCTGCGCTCCTGGTTTGCAACCATAAGGTCACCGGTTCGAATCAGCGTAGGAGTGGGCGTCATCGCGGTATACTGTCCGCATGCGACTGGTGGTGGTCGCGCGGCAGCGAAGCGCCGTTACGGCGTACATCGGACACATTACTATTGAATGCCTCCAAATTCCCCACTGCCTTGTGGGCCAGGCTATTGAGCCAAAGGCTGTCGATGGACCTCCTCAAGAAAACCTACATGTACTCTATTACCTTGTGGGGAAGACCATTGAATCAAAGGCTGGAGTTAGGACACCTTGAACAAAACACCTCTTGTAATGGGCAGTCAGAGAGTAGCGCCTGACCTCTCGACCACGTTAACAACTCTCCCTCTTCTTATGTTTCTCCCCCCCTCGCAACTCTCTTCTTCCACGTATATTGAGCAAGAAACTGCTGCTGACCTCGCTGCTTCTACTATCGATACCCGTAACTCGTCTATCAAACCACGAGTCTCATTTCACATTGGTTCGTTTAACGTCCGCACTCTGGGTCAGATAGGCCAACGGACATCACTGACTCTCACTCTTCACTTTCTTGGTGTTGATGCGTACTGTCTCCGAAACACGCACACAAGATAAAAGCGTTGTGACGAATATTCGACTACCTGGTTCTGAATCTGACGAAAATGACCACACTCTTCGCGTCTCCGGTGATATTGAGTCAATGGCCTAAGGTATTTACGGTGTCGGTATCGCCTTCAGCAGACATGCTGAAGGTAATCTACTCGACTGGATACCGGTAAAATGTCGCATGTATGCGATTCGAATTCGAAGCACCATTCAGTACAGTTGATCCGAGCACCGAAATGCGGCAGATCCAGTTGCCATGACTCTTATCGCAAAAATAATAATAAATAACGGCAAAGCAGTGGGGTTAAAGGCAAATAGAATATAGAAAAAAAATGAAAGCGAGAAGGAAGTAGGTTAAACTAATCAGAATGGAACGAGAATTGACAACCGCATGCAAGAACGCCGCTGACTGCGTGACTGCGCCATGTCACATACGGTCTCTAGCCATTGGTGTGGACCACCACGAGGCCCCAAGCACGAAGACGGCACGCACCCGCCTGACCAAGTCCCAGTCAATTTTTTCATGCCACTGCGCCACATCCTGAACTGGCCACCTCACGGTTTCAAGGAATCACCATTGGAGTTAATAAGCACTGTGTGAAGACAGGGTGCCTTTTCATCGCCTCAGTTTATGCTCCTACTGAATGCAGTTCGGAGGGTACCAAAGATGATTCCTACTACCATCTTACATCTCTTCTCTACATGGCGAAGAATACTGACATCGTGATTGTTGCTCGTGACTTGAATGCCCAAGTGGGTTGTCTTTCAGACTCTGAATAACACCTGGGAGGGCGCTTCGGAGTTGATCCAGACCGAACAGACAATGGTGATCAAACCCTGCAACTGTGCGCCGACCACAAACTAAATTAGCAGGACTGCATCCCAGTACTAAGGTTCACACTACGTCACTTTGCGCCCACCGAATCGCTCAATGACCTGGACACAATTTGGCCATATTGCTAACAGCTACAAATGGCGCACATCAGTCTGACTGTCGGTCAATTTGGAGCACATGCCTAGATTCCGGCCGTGCTCTAATGCGCGTACGCTTGACGCCCACACTTCCGGCTGCAACAAATTCGCAGTCTGCAGTATCATTAAGAATTTGCCCACCAATTGTCGGTGAGGAATGAGGCTGGTGAGTCGGACGCTGATTGGGATCGTTTCAAATGTACCATAAGGAATGCCTTTGACGCTTGCTGTGCACCTAACTTGATACGTCGTAATTGCGAATGGATCTCTGAAGCAAGAACCAATTTGATCAAAACGCGTAAAAAGGTTTCGATGAGCACTGAATTTCGACGAGTCCCTGAAACGACGTCTGACAAGGATTCTTCGAGTTGACCGGGAACCTTGGTGGGTTGCAAAGGCCCGCGAGATGGAGAAAGTCAGCGCTGCCGGAAACAGCCTGGTGCTATTCCAGCTCATCCGGAACACGGATCCGAGAATGCTATCCGTTAGTAAGACAAAGATGAGAAAGATGGACTGTTGATTCATTCCCAGCGTTGTCGACAAACCCGTTGGGCGGAACATTTTGAAGAGCAGTTCAGCAGGCCTGCTGCGACAATGCCGTTTGCCGAATCACCTGAACCGTCATGTGAAGTAGATGTCACACTTCCCACTTTGGAAGAAATTTGACAAGAGCTCACTGCATTAAAACGAAACAAGGCTCCGGTACCCGATGACCTTCCTCCATCTTTTCTGAAAGATGCCAGTGACTCTTTGTTGACTGCACTTGCTTCTCTTTCTAACACGATTTGGGACACGCAAAAAGTGCCTTTAGACTGGTGACCATCAACTGTCGTGCCCATACTTTACGCGAAAATTATCAAGGCATTGGACTTATTTCCGTTGCCTCAAAACTTCTCACGTGTATCATTCTTCGATGAGTTGCTGGCCCTCGTAAGGACGGATTCACTGAAAGCCAGACTCGCTTACGCCCTGGCCGTAGTTGTATCGAACACACAGTAATTCTGCGCCAAGTTTTAGAGTAGACACACATGCAGACAATCGACTATGGTGGTTTTTCTTGAGTTGAAAATTGCCTTCCAATGTTGACCGCGCCAGTTTGTTGCACTGCTTATGCATGAAGGGCATCCTTGCTAAACTTCTCTCCATTCTGAAGTCCCTCTACCGTGATTCCCGAGGCCGTGTAAAGGTCTACGGGAAACTGTCTCTTGAGTTCTCACGATAAGTGGGGTTCGCCAGGGTTGTTCTATATATCATTGCCTCTTCAAATTTGTGATCGAAATGATTCTGAAGGATACGGCTTTTTCACACTATACTGCAGTAGTAGTTTTGCCAGGTGACCAACTGACAAACCTGGAGTATGCGGACGACATAGTTCTTCTTGAGTCTGATGCATTGGCTATACAAACACTGCTGCACAGACTTGGGCGTAGCGCTGCACGCTTTGGCATATACTGTGTACTTTTAAAGTGAAAAGTACTATTGCAGGACTCGGCCGACACACCACCGGTTCTAGCTATTCCCGAACAACCACTGGAGGTATTGGATGGTTTCACTTACCCTTATAACTGTGTCAAACCTGGTGGCCACATCACTGGAGGTTACTTCGCGTATCAGTAAGCCACGTGTGGCTTTCCAGAGAATCAAGCAATCATGGAAACGGCGGGATATTAGCTTGTCAGTGAGGTAGGATGTGTAACCCATCGCAATGAGGCTGGACCCTAACATGGTGCGATGGTTTGCGTGCCTCGACGATCCATTGAGCTATGCTCGGTGGTGCTTCATTTGCACCTTCAGAGCCACTCATACCAGATTGGTCAATGGTTAGAGGCCAGACAAAGTCAGCCTCCTGGTTCTCCAGGTTGGGGATTGGAAGGAAGTAGCTCCTTATTTCTTAAAACGGACTCCTTGTAGCCCAACGCCAAACCCGCTGCCTTGCAGTCAGGTTTTTGAACCAAAGGCCTTCGCTGAGAACCCTAATTGTTCTCCTTTCTAGGCCTGGGCAACCTGACAGTATCCTGCCCACGAAATACAATGAATTTCTCTTCAAACAGTTTCTTGATGCGCTGGCCACCGCAGAGGATAATCAACGGTGCCCTATCTGCTGCATCGAGCAGGGTGGATAGGAGTTTGGATGTTACTGCTCAAGCCTTCCCGTCTTCTTATTCTCCCTTTCACGCTTCTTCTCTCTTACCGTCCCGTGTCAGTTTCACTTTTATCCCCCAGTTTTCAACTCCTCAATTCTCGGCCCTCCCACCTTGCTTTGCTAGGCTTTTACCTTCTAGTTTCAAAGCACATGTGAACGCGGAACGTCATTCCTGTCCCGTCGACAAGCCCATGCCCAAGCAAGCGGTCAAGCCTAGTTTATCGACTTCTATTTGGAGCCCTCGATTATCTTTCAGATTGGCATGCCTCAATGTACGCACATTGATACAAATCGGTAAACAGGCAGCAATTGCCCGAACATTAGATACCCTCTCGATCGATACCTGCTGCTTATCGGAGACCCGCCTGCAAGACTCGAGCTCTGTGCTCACTTTGCGATCCCCTTCAGGTGACACCAGCAGCACTTTCTCATTGCGCCTATCTGGTGACGATGCAGCTTCCAGCACCTGCCAAGCCGGTGTTGCTATTGCCCTAAGTCCCCGGGCTGAAGCTGCTCTGGTTGACTGGATTCCAATCAGTAGCCCCTTGTGTGCGGTCCGATTGGCTGGCTCGTTTAAAGCTTCGAAGTCGCACAGGACTAACAGGCGTCTAATCGTCATCGCTGTCTATGCACCCACAAACA